TTTATCCAGTCACAGGCAAATGAAAACAAAAAAAAAAAAAACAATACAATTAATGTGAATCTGATATACTTCAGACATAGTTGTTTGCATTTATATTATTTAAATAAATATTTTTTAAAATACAAGTTCCACATGTAAATAATTACCTGTGGAAATAGAACAACAGAGAGCAGGCTCCTGTCCTTGTTTTGAAGCAGGCCTGATTTTTATGGACAGTGTCTCCCTCTGTTGGATAGACTAAGGAACTACTAATTAAACGAGCGTTTAATCTGTATACTACATATTTTATATGTATATCGTATCTGATACAAATAAAATGTAACATGCTACAAAACAGAGTGGTCTAAATTTAAGTTTAATTTTTTTCAGAGATTAAAATATAATGTGCAGAGACTACACGCAGATCGTAGTATTTCATTAATTCGTGGCTTATGTGCATACACCTCCAACAATATGTTGTTATGAGGGTCATGTGTACCAAAAAATAAAATACAAATTTACACCATAAATGGTGAATTTAAAAAACATTCAAATTAATTGAAATGCAATTAATTATCACGTTAAAAAGCAATGTAAGCTACTAAAGGAATTTACTGGAATTATCACATGGTATTTTTCATTCAACAAAAGATGTAATATCACGTGAGGTACAAAAAGATAATAATTATAAATTCATTAAACGATTACTATAGCACAATAAAGTGACGCAACGATAGGTCACGTGCCTCCGCCCTTCCGGCTCCGTGTCCAATCATATTTCAAGATGAGCTGGCACTAAAATACCCGGAAGTGTTTACAGCAGGAGGCTAAACTAGCAGCTAACAGCAGAGTCAGTGGAGAATTGAAGCTCCTGTAAGTGCAGTGCGGACACATCTCCTCCCCTGTGTGCGGTGCTTGTTAAGGTGAGTCCCACCTGTTCACTAACAATCAGCTCCCCGATTCTTTCCAGCTTACCGAGGCTAACTGCTCCTAGCAGCAACCAACAGTTCGCTTCAGCGAGTGGCGCGAAATAAGTGACTTGTTTTTGGAAACAAGCGCTTGGAATAGATGTGAATTTGAAACAGAATGCTCGGTTTTCCAGAAGATAGACTGAACCTTCAGTAATAACCTGGGTAATTCTAAAAAAAAAAACGTAACTAGTAAGGGGAAACTAGCTAGCATGCTAGTTAGCTAATGTAAAAAAACAAACAAGTTTAATTACTTACCAGCACATAGACATTTTATGGACTTTAGTTCCAGCAGATACACAGACCTGCAAATTTATCAGCTCACTGGAGAGTCTGCAAATTGGGAAGATGTGTAATGAGTGCTGGTAGGAGAGTAAAGTTTTTAGGTCAGACAGCTGAGAGTTTTCAGGACTTAATCTGTGTGTCGCAGCTGGTAAAAATGTACTGCCAGTGAATCTTTGTGGTTTGGTTTGGTTTGGTTTGTTGGCTGAAGTGAGCTGTAACAGGGAGCACAGTGTTGTGGGATCGATGAGGGGCGTTATCGGTGTTTTAATGTGTAAGGAGGCGTGATGCTCCGCTGTGTTTCTGCAGTTTTTGCGGAGCCGCAATGACACAGCTGTTCTGAGCTGCCATATCTGAAGCAAATCAAACCCCTCACGAGTGCTCACACTGCACACAGCCAAAGAAAAAAAAAAAGAAAACACTCAAATGCTTTATTCAGTTTTTGTTTTAGCTTTTGTCTTTTTCACTTATTGTTGTCAGGGATCGTCTACAAAGACGTCAATCTCAGAATAAGGAGAAGCCTCCGGCCTCCACCCGTCGGGTTGCTCTAAAGTGGGCTGTGTTGCTTTTCAGTTTTGTGGAAGAAGTAAATGAGTTTATTAGATTTAATCTTAGAACAGGATTAGGAGTGCATTTTTAGAAAAATGTCATTAAGCTTCGCTGAAAGAAGCCATACACTGAAAATCCACTTTCATGGGGTTGTAACATTTTTTATAAAGTATGATCTGTGAAAATCTGGCTTCCACAACATCAGCAACATGACAGTTACCCATTTACATTTTTTCTTTTTTAAAATTTCATGCAGAACTATGTGAAAGTCTTGAGCCACTCCTCGCTTCCTTTTCTGTAGTTTCCAAAGAGTCAGAGTTTTTCAAAGTGGTGTTAAAGTAATAGTTTTCCAATCTTTCAAATGTTTTTCTTTGGATGTTTGTTCTGCCTTTTCACTCATTTTCAGTCCAGTTCATGTTCCATTTTCAAAGAATTTTATTTTGGTTTTCTAACCTGTGAACTATTCATTATAAAAAGGCACCTAATTCAAGGGACGAGCCAGTGTTGTGGCTACACGTGGCTGACAATTCAATTTTATTTTATTTATATAGTGCCAAATAACGAAAACTGTTGCCTCAAGGTGCTTTATATTGTAAAATACAGACCCTACAATAATACAAGAAAACAGAGAAAACCCCAAAAATCAAATGACAATGTGCAGTGTGTCCTTAAAAAATGTGAGGAAACTGGGCAAAGTGTCGTGCCTAAAAAGCTATGTCTACCAGGTGAATTCAGAAATGGTCTCAATGAAAGGCTGGTTGTCAAGAAGCCATTCTTCAGGAAGGGAAACTGGGAGAAAGGTCAGAGGCAGATTACACAAGAACTCTTATGGAGCAATGGATCCAGATATGATTTTTTTTTGTCTGGAGGTTGGGAGAGCAGTACAACAGTGAGTGTCTACAGCCAGCTGTTAGACACAGTGGAGACTGTCATAGTTTGGAGCGTTTCAGCCAGCAGTGTGTGGTTCACCACTGGATTCATTTTTCAGTAAGACAAAGATCTCAAACACACCGTCAATACAATAAAATGCATCTAAAAGTAAAAATAAAATAGATGTCAGTTACTGACCTCTATACAGGCAATCACAAGAGACTCCACCCGTCCTGCGTCTCACCTGTTTGGCCTGCTGCCCTCAGGGTGACGCTACAGGTCTATCCAGACTCAGGAACAGTTTCTTTCCGCAAGCCGTCATACTGAGCACAGATACACACACATGCCCCACCTCAAAACACACATCTCTCTCATGCATACACACAACAACATACATATTAGCACCCTTGCACATCTGTATAAATGTTTTGCATTTATGTTGTTTGTATTTTTATATTTGTTTCTATTGTTATTTGTTCTGAATTTAATGATTGACTCTAAATTGCCCACAGGTGTGAATGTGAGTGCGAGTGGTTGTCTGTCTCTGTGTGTTTGCTCTGTGGATGGATCTATTCTAAATGCTGCTCACAGGAAGTTGCTTCTGTATTTGTTAAATGTCTGATGTTTAATGACAATAAAGGGATTTGAATTCTGATTGGCCTCCCTGGAAAGCAAACTTCAACATTATTGAAGTGTGAGATCATCTTTATAGAGAGTGGAACAAACGGCAAGGCAAGTTTATTTATATAGCACAATTCAACAGCAAGGGGATTCAAAGTGCTTTACAAAGACTTTAAAAAACAGAAACAAATAAAAAGCATGATTTAAAATGGAGAAACAGGAAGGAACAGTAGATAAAATCAGTAGTTAAATGTAAGTTTTGAAATTTAAGCTTAAAAGTAAAACACTGTGGATTTGGTGCTTTATTCAAATGCAGCTGAGAACAGGTGAGTCTTCAACCTGGATTTAAATAAACTGAGTGTTTCAGCTTATCTGAGGCTTTCTGGGAGTTTGTTCCCAGAAACCAGCTAACATCCAGAACAGAGCTTTGAATTTCCTGGAGAGTCTTTCCTGAAGACCTGAATGACAAGAAAGCTGACTAAAAGAGGCTGTGTTAAATAATAAAGGCAGTTACAGCAAATATTGACTTTCAAGCTAATACAAATATGTTTTTTGCCTTAATATACTTATGTTTGCATGTGTTTTAGTTAGTATTTCCAATTTTCCTAGCAAATTATAAAGAAAGATGGTTGGCTTCACACTTTTCGGTACTGCTACAAACCAGGAGGAGCTAAAATGCAATTGGTGCTGTGAAACTGCCACTTTCAGTTTAACTGTTGTATTTAAAGTTTTGTTAGGGTCTGAGTTTTACATGTTTTACGTGCACACTGTTCCTGCCTCGGTCAGTTGGGTAGTTTGTGTGACTGGTATGTTATCACGTTAATTCTCAATCTGATTAAATGAATATATTAAACATCAGAGCAGCACATCAGCCAGAGGCAGCCAGAGCACTGATGGATGAACGTGTCTGATAACTGGGTGGATTAAAGTCATACAGTTTGTTCTAATGTGCACTAACTGCTGTACGTTCTGAATGGCAATAAAGTAGTTATTCTGTTCTTCTGCTTATTGAGAACGATTGACTGTAGATGTCATGATCAAGTGCCATGTGATGGTGTTTTTGACATGTGAACCTGCTCTGTGTTTCCTGTTCAGAAGTCAGGATGAGTCTGCAGTGGACTGCGGTGGCCACCTTCCTCTACGCTGAGATCTTCTTAGTTCTGCTGCTCTGCATTCCCTTCATCTCACCCAAGAGGTGAGTAACACCTGACTCACACACACCTGCCTTGGCATCAAGCTTTTTCCAGCTCAAATCTGATAGCGTTACCTTGGCTTAAGATATCTGCCAGTACAAACTACTGCCTGGAAAGGTCAGTAGTTTGTAGTAAACTAGCAGCTGGAAAGAAATGACTTTTAATCCATTTCACTTTTAAATGAGAGAGATTATCATCTAAGCTGTCAGTCAGCTGGGGTTGACCGCAGTTTACAGTCAATAAAAACATTTGCAAACATACAAACAAGGTGTTGGCGCACCAGTGTGGAATATCTCCAAACTGCTGGCACTTTTTTGTTCCACCCAGTTTATGCTTGCCGTTGTTTGAGTTGATGTATCAGCTGGAGCTCAGAGTGCCACTTTACAGAGAGGGAAAGGTGATAAGGCTGTGGTGATTTCACAGATGCACATGACACAACCAGTAATGTCGGCTCATTGTTGCCGAGCTTTTGGGCTGGTAGGGGACCAGTTTTGATGCATGCATCCCTACACCGATCCTTTTGAAGTTTAGTACACCTTGAAAACAAAACAAAGTATCACAATCACAAGAAAGTACCTCTATATAAATCTCTGCAGACATTTTAACAACCCTGCTGATGGACGTGTCTTTCATGGGAAAAATTACAGACAATTAGATAATTCTGGATATTGAATGTTTTCTCTGCCTTGCTGAAAACTTCCCCGATCATGGATTTTCGATACTGTCACACGACAAACAGACAGCGAGATAAATCTTGGCCCATCTGGGTTTAAAGCAGCCAATGCAAAGCATTTACAACATTGTGTCCGTGTGCTGTTGGCTCCATGAGAGGAAGCTTTGGCCGTTAATTTTTAGCTGGAGAAGCGTGAAGCTCGCTGATGGAAGCAGCAGAGTTCAGTTTGTCCTCAAACAGAGCAGCTCTGTGTGACTGTGATCACATTAAAAGACCTCCTGACTGCTGACTGATGAGCTCTGATTAACTCCGCACACACGGCACAGCGCTGATAGGAGCTGAAATCCAACAAAGAAAAAGTCAATAAAAGTAGAGAAGTTTTAGCGCTTTTTAAAATTATTTTATCTGACTAGATATCAAGAATTAAAAATAGCTTTTGTTTTGTTATTTTCATATGTGAAAGAAAGTTTATCATTTTTATCTGATTGACTGTTTTTAGCAATGGTGTAACCTAACATAGATAAATGCAATAACATGACCTCTGCTTATGTAGGCTTTGAGCAACAGTTGCGTTTGTTGTTACATTAACCCAGAAACAATAAGGATAAGTAGTATTGTTGTCCCTTTTAGTCAGTTTCACACCGCAATATCATTGTTCTTGATTTATGACTCCACAGATGGAAGCAGGAAACAAAAACTAAACTTACTTAACACTTTTGTTGCTAAACATAATTAACCCTTAAGGACCCACAGTGACACTGGTGTCACTGCCTCTTTACACTTAGAGACTTGGTTATATATGATTCATTTGATATAAGACCCCCGTAATTTTCATGAAAGTAGAAATAGGTCTGGGCTCTTAAGGGTTAAAATTTAATAAAACAAGGTGTCGACATGTTTTTTGTTTGTTTGTTTTTTAGACAACAGAAATAAAAATAAAACAAAATGAAATTGTACTTAAACTGTGTAAAATGAAAATGTGCAATTTTATATAATAACAATGTGGTTATTCAGACTGAAACTTTGGTGTTTCCCACTTCCTCATATGGAAAAACCCCCAAAACTGAAACTGTTAAAAGTTCTAAAAGTACTAAGAACTGACTCTAGAAAATGGCTCAGACTAAAGCAAATAAAAAAAAAAAACATTCTATATAATATAAACTAAAATAAATATAAAACTGTACTAACTATATTCTTAATAACCAGCTTCCTGCAGAGGTCACTGCACAGTTGAGCTCATGACTGTTTTTGTTTGGCCCCTAGAGGGGGCTAGAGCTCCAGGTTTAGTTGCTGTGTTGTAAAACATTAAGATCACCATTCATTCGTCCATCCTTTCTCTTCTGCTCTCGTCTTTTTTTCCCATCACTTCAAGCACGCTTGGATCACTTTTGGCTCCCAAAAGATGCGATAAGATGGATTTTAATTATCCCAGAAGTTCAGTTCCTGTCCTGCAGCACCAGTAGTGTCCAACACAACATTTAAAAATCAAATAATGGCTTCATAAAGTAACAAAAAGCTCATTCAGATTACTCCAAACAAAGAGTAAAAAAATAAATAAAGAAAAGTGACTCTAATGTCTCTATAATGTAAAAATGTATAAAAGTGAACCTGTCTTCTTCTTGTTGTTGCCGACTGATTTGTGTTTTATTCTCCTGGTTGTTGTTTTTTTTAGGTGGAACTGCATTTTCAAATCTCGCATCATAAAGGCCATCACTCTCTATGGAAACACCGCCTTCATGGTGGCCATCGCCATCCTCGTCTTTCTGCTCATCGGTACGTCTGCAGTGCTTTTGTTGATTGGTTGGGAGGTGGCCTTTAGCCAAAGTGTAGTCGATTGTCTGCATTCTTCCAGTCTGTGGAGGACGCTGCTGTAGCTTCGTTTCAATCAAGGTTGATGAAGCCTGGGTAAACAACGGCACCATCAGTTCCTTACTTTGTAATAACAGCGTGTTCAGAGTCCAGCGGATGAAATGTTGCCAAACTCTTTATCAAAGGAGTGTTAGGCAGAAATAATGTGTGGCTTTTATAACATTTAAAACTAAATGAAAGTTTGGCATCAGTCTGTGATTTTGTAAAGCATCAAAGTAACTGCAAAATTTTCCCAGATACATAACATCTGTCGTAGTCGGATCACAGGGATTCGAGATGTTTCCATCTAAACATAGAAGCTACTCATTTGGTTGTGCAGAAAGACAGCTTTATTTTTTCATATGCTTAAATGTTGTTTAGGAAGTACAACTGTAATTACATGTTGTATTGTGACAGTGTATCCAGTGCTTCTCTGCTCAGTAGCCACATTTATCCGCCCAGGTTTACCACACATCGTGATTTGAACTAGCTTCTAACATAAACCAGGTTTTTCCTGCCAACGGCCTCACAGAGAGTTTACTTAGAGCAAGAGGTTTTCTACTAATAATAATTATTTTAAGCAGTTGTTTAAGTTCGGGTTTTAAAAACACCCGAACTTAAACATTAACAGTTCAGTACCTGTGCCAGAAATCAGTTCTGTTGTGTGCGTGTGTGGTGGGACAGTTTGCTCCCAGTAAGCACCGACTTTGTACCTCAGCCAGCAGGGAAGCAGCAGAGCTACAGTGCAGCTACAAAATAAGTTTACTGTGAATTAAAGATGCAGAAAGGTGACGTTTCTGTGTGTTTCCTGTACAGATGCTTTCCGTGAGGTGAGGAAGTACAGTGTGACGGAGAAGGTGGATCTGGCGAACCACCCGACGGCCATCGAGCACATCCACATGAAGCTGTTCAGAGCACAGAGGAACGAGTACATTGCTGGCTTCGCCCTGCTGCTCTGCCTGTAAGACACACACACACCCCTCACCTCAAGCTGTTTAAGTTTTAGGATCAGCCACAGTAGCCTCGCTTCACTGGAAAGACTTTAAACCAAGGATACAGCTGTTAGCTTTCGTGCTAGCAATCGGATAGTTGCTCAGAGAACGACCTAAACGGTCGAACTAGATCGGCTTCATAGATCGGCACATCGCCACTAATATCTGATCGAACTTTCTGGATCAGGATGGGAACGATACATGATGCTGCCTCGTGCATCTGGAATACTCGACCTGGTTTCATCTTCTTTGCCCTCCCCACTCCCACTTAAGAGTCTCTTTATAAAGGGAAGGGTAAGATAAGGTGCTGTGAACTAGTTCCTAGGCAGTGTCCCATCCAGGTAGTAACCAGGCCGAGCTCTGCTTAGACTCAGAGATCACAAAAGATCAGCTGTGTTCAGGGTTTTTACAGAAGATGCAACATTTCTGAACTGCGGCAATTTTTAAAATTAAAGACATGGTCTTCTTATTCCTTGTTTTTTGTTAGATCATTAAAAAAGTATTAATTAAATTAAAACATATTTCAAAAATAGA